ATGTCCCCCTAAAGCCTCATGCAGTCATGGGTGGGTCTTTTTCAGAGGTGGCTGACCTAGAATGCGTGACTCTGGAATTGATTCATGGTGCAATACTAGGATCAAGGGCCCTAGGATTAAGAGTGTGAATGTTACCCACCCTAAGAAGTAGGATAAGACATAAGGGATAGAAAGAGCTGTGGTCTTGTTGCTTTGTGCTTTGTTACATTCTGCCCACCATGAACTGTTGTGATGCCTGTCTGCCATGCCACCCTGCCTTGGAGCCAGCTGATTATGGACTGAAACCTCTACACACTGTGAGCCAAATAAACCTTTCTTCCTTTAACTTTAGATGTTAGGTATTTTGTCTTAGCAGTAAGAAAAGTAACTAAAGCAGCTGGCCAGTCCAGAATCTCTTTTTCCAAATTGTGTGAAGTTACTCTTTCCTTTACTATTCAAAGAAGGGATTTGACTTTCCATGTCCTAGGGGTAAGTGTAAGGACCTTCCCTGTATCTTTCAAGATTACAGGGAAAGTACTTTCACTTTCTTAGTATCTGTCACTTCCTGGTCACATTGCTCCTGGCTCAGTTTGAATCACTTTTCACTCTTTGGTTACCACTGCCATCCACAGCCTTCTCTCTTAGCTTCTTTCTTTAAGGCAGCCATCCATCTGGGTTTGCCTGGGATATAGAACTTTTGGAGCTAGGATTGGAGAAATCTTGAGCAAACTTGAATAATGTGTTCACTTTATTCTCTAAGAAACCAATATACCATTCCATTATTTGTAACAACATTCTGAAACATTTGGGATAACAAAGGTGAAATAAAAACAGAAAGAGAAAACAACATGGAGATCAGATATCAATGTAACTAAGACGCCTGGTCCTTGTTCCTCTTGTTGCTGGTTTGCTAACATGTTTCCAGGATCAATATTTTCACCACAGAAAACTTTCTGTTCGACTAAAAGCTCTTTTCTCTTGATCTACCATAGGAAAAATCTCTAAAACTCCTGTTACTTTGCAATGAAGGACAATTTAACTCTGTTGTCCCCACTTCTTTAATGTCTTTACTAGAGACCATGCTAAGGCATGCCTTTTGTTTTGTTTTGTTTGGTACCAGGGATTGAACTCGGGACCATGTGCTTGTGCAGCAGGCACCGGAACCACTGAGCTAAATCTCTGGCCCTAAGGCATGCCTTTTGTCTCCACATTTTTCTGAAATAAGAGTGATCTAACCCTGAAAGTCTAACTTGAACAATATATTGAACAGAACAGTTCTAAAATTTGAACTTCTAGAACCAGGAATTGAAAGGCAAGTTTCAATATGAAAGAGCATATGTTTGTTTTTAGAAAGATATCTAGAAGAATTCTGGGTAAAATAATGAAGGAGATCTGGAGATGCACAGAAATTGTCTTACTGTGGCCAACACAGTGTTTTGTATCAATTAGGCTCTCAATAATTCCCTGTTGAGTGCAAGCATAAATACCCTTACATATGTAAATAACTAATATACTGAAAAAGTCTTATTATGAAAAAGTTTTCTCCAGTAATATGAGGCCATAGGTGGTTGGATCCAGAGTTAATTCAGTGGCTCCTTACTATCATCCAGTCATGTCATGTCTATCTTGTGGCCCTACCATTTTCTGTACCTTTGCTGTATCTTCCCTCATTGTCATTACATGGTAAAACTAATTCCAGGAGTCACAGATCACGTGACTGCACCAACAGAGAAAAATCGGAATTTACCTCTGTTCTCTTTAAAGAGACAAGTCTTTCCCAGCAGCTCCCATCAGACCTATGCTCCAGATTAATAAAGTTAGTGAAGGGAGGCTAGAAAAACTCAATTTCTAGGAAAGGGAGGCAGGCTTTTCTACCCAGGAGCGGCAAAGGAATAAATAGGTATTGGCTAGGTAGCAAACAGAATTCTACTCATAGGGAAAGTGAACTATTTTCAATAATCTGGGATAGTGAGATTTCCTATAAAATAAATTCATGTGTAGAATCTCTGATCATTTTTGGCTGCACTGTAGCAAAACTGGCTAGTTTCTCATCAGAATCTCTTCTTCCATTACACACAGAAAGATTACTTTCCCTAGTTTCTCTTGCAATTAGATTAAGTGGTATACCTGATTTCTGACCTCCATAATGTGAATAGAAATGTGTTCAAGGAGACACACCTAAGAGATCCACATCTCTGACATAGAACTGAGATGTACAGGAATATTAACATTTATTTACTTATTTGTCCTGGGGATTGGACACAGGACCTTGCACTTGTGAGGCAGGTGGCGGCACCACTGAGCTAAGTCCCCGGCCCCTAACATTTGTTGATTTTTATCACCAAAATTTCTAGATTTATTTATCATTACATGATAATCTCTCTTCCCTTAGCTAAGATATTCATATAAAGAGAAAAGTATTATTTAAAGTGTTAATAATGCATCTTTTACAAATGGCATGCAATGTCAAAATTGAAAACTTATTCATTCTTCATCATATATCTCTGTGGCTCTAGAACTCAACTTATACTTAAAAGTATACTGGAATTCATATCTTTTTTTTTGGAATTCATATCTTGAAAACTATTACCTGTAATAGCTTACTTGTGCTAAGAGAACTGGACTGAGTTCACTAAATTATTTTCATCATCTTCACAGAAATATCTGCAAATTCAAGATGAAATTGGACTCAATATCATCATTTAAGGCACTATGAAAGAAAGCATCTTTGAGCTAGTTATATAAGTCCTTATTTTTGTGTCATTCTTCATAACCCTGACATTTATCATTGTGTATTAAAACATTCACTAAGCTTGCTACATGGACAAATCTTAGTCTCTAAGAATTATAAAAATGAATAATGTCTTGTTCTCCTACACCTAACTTTTTACTTTTAACATTGAAAACTTCATGACACATGAGGAATAGTAGAAATGTTTGCATGGTGCCATATAGCAAAAAGAACTGTTACTAAATCTGCTGGGGATAATTCTGCACTATCACATGTAAAGTTAACTTCAATGAAAATGATGTGATTAGTGTTCAATAATGTTACCCTTTATCTTTACTCCAAAGTTATGTTCTAGCCAATCTGGAAGGAATTTTGTTTGTTCCACAATCTAAATTCTCATCCAGTGATATGTTGGAGAACAGGTTCTACAAAAGAAAGTTTTGATTTATAGCATGTGCCAACTCTCATGATGTAAATACTTCCATCTCAACCAATTTAAACTACAGCACTTTAACATCTGGTTGGAAAAATTGCTGAATATTTAATAGTTGTCTGTGGTAAGCCCAGGTCACCCGTGGCATAATCTGATAAGATTTTCTGGAACTAATCAATATATCTCAACAGAAAAATACCTGAAAAGAATTTTTAAGCTTAAGTTTTTGTGGAGATTCATTAAATCATTTAATAAATATTATTTTTACACTTTCTATGTGCTCAACTCTATTATAGGTATTGGATTATAGTAGCAAGCAATATAGACATGGTTCCTTACATTATGGAGTTTCTTTTCCAGTGAACAGTACACTGAAGAAAGATAACGTGGGGTAAAGGAGATATAAGATCTCATAGAAAATGCTACCTTATGTATGATGGACAGGGCAATCCTCACTGATTAAATTGTATTTGAGCAATGTTTAAACGAAGTGATGGAAAGAACCATGCAGATATCTGGAAGAGGCTACTGAGGGTGTAAAGTCTATAGCAAGGGTGTGCTTGCATGTTTGCAGAAGAACGAGAAAAACAACTGTGCCCTGATTGGAATGAGTAAGAGATAATGTGGTAGAGAATCAAGTAATACGGATATTGAGGCAAGTTGAGAGGGAGCACGCTGTGGACAACTATAATTCATTCACTGACTACTTGGTGGTAGTAGCAATGGTAAGAATTGTTCACAGATATGGTGTTTCATTTAATCTTTACAAGTCCATGAGGGAGTTAGTACTCCCCTCCTTTCATCCCCTCCCCTCCTTTAGACCTGAGGTTTAGAGTAATGTTTTAACTTGAGCTTCCCATGAAGCAAACCGTGAAACAATGATCTGAGTGCAAGTAATATGTTCGAGAGGTGACCCTAGAAGGTACTAGCAAGAAATTTAGGGAGTGCTCAGGGAAATGAAAAGAACAGAAAAACTGCAGCTATCAGTGTCAGTAACTGGAACTTAATCCCACTGGAGAACTCTGGAAATTAGTGTATAATGTGGCCCTCAGAGTTATGCTACCTTAAGGCTGATGAAACTGGAGTATGTATACCCTAAATCCTCATCAGTCATAGATTAAGGCTGGTTCTCAAATATAATAATTATCCATATATATATGTTTTTGATACCAGGGATCGAACTCAAGACCTTGCACTTGCAAGACAGGCAGCGGCACCACTGAGCTAAATCCCTGGCCCTAATTATCTATATTTTAAGTCTTCTGTACATTTGGACAAGTATGTGCCACTACAGGAAGGCTTTAAACAGATTTATAGCGGTAAACCATTCGAAGCTGGCCATAGTTTCTCCAAAATGTTGATGCCCAAGCAGGTGTGGGTTGGGTACTGGAAGCCTCTATTACTAGAAGGTAAGGAGGCAGTATTTTTGCAAAATCAGAATTTGAATACAAACTCATGATATGACGCTGAAAAAAAGAACTTAAAAATTGGTAGGATCTCCTGTTTTGAATGCTCGTAATGTTTCAAAATAAGATTTCTAATTAGTTTTCTTCAATATTACTAAGTATGACTAAGAATCATCATGAATTTTATTTCAACAAGATGGTCAACATAAAGAACATTTAGAAAGGGTCAAAAAGGAATTTTTAACATAAATCCTGAAACCACAGTAATTTAAATAAGTCAGAGATTTCCACCAGCAATAGTGCCAAAGACACAAGAAGTTACCTGACAGCACCAGAGATTAAAGTTGGTTCTTTCTCAGCTTCAGTGATGGCACAGTTCTGCAAACTAAGAGGTCAAGGGACTGTGGTCCAATGAGAAACATTACTTAGTATGAAAAGAGAAAAAGGGGTCTCACCAAGTCCACACATAAACAGAAAGCAGCTCTGGCTCTCAGGAAACAGGCTGTGTCTCTCTACTCATCATACAGAACACACCGAAAAAAAAGAGATGGGAAGTGCAAGTGATTGAAAGAGCCCTTTGGGTTATACTGATCCTTACCCTATGTGCCATGAAATTCCACTCTCCTGAAAGGTAGTGGTCAGGCTTCCAAAGGAAATCCTACAGGGAGTGTGATACAGAAGGCTTTGCATAAATTAATGTAACATAACCATTCCTAGACCTGAGAGATCACATTGTTTTCCTCTCCAATATCCAGTTAGATTATTTATTTGAAATGGTATCAAACATGTCTGTCCCTAGGCTAGGAGTAAAACAGCAATTTTGATGCTGAACATAAGGAGAAGAGAACAAAAAGATTAAAGCAATCAAAACAAAATGGTACATGTTTTGGAAAAAGGATAAAACCGTGGCAAAGAGAATCCCATTCTTTGCTGATACATAAAGAATCCAAAATTTAAAAAAGAAATGTTAAGACTATGCTCAAGATAAACACAATTTTTCAGTCTAGAAAAATGGATATTACAGTGGAGGACATGATCAAACCAATGGTTTGCAACCATTTTTTAAAGCAGCAGAGTGCTTTTATTTCAGTGTAATTGTACATGGAGTTCAATTGATAAAGCAGATAAAAATGCAGCTGCTCCGGTAGAATAAGGGAGGCCAAGGGCACTGTACCTCTGCCTCTTTTCTTTCTCCGGCAGCTGCTCCTGTAGCCATGCCAGGAAATCCTTGTACTCTGCAAAATAGAATTTGAAAAGCAAACATTGGAATGTTGCAGCTTCTATCCATTTCATAGCTTCACAGATATAAAATATTATTGTCTCTGTTTAAACCAGTATATATATAATATATATAATATATATATTTGCAAATCTTTCTCTTTTCTCTTGTTCATAATTTTGCGGAGTAAATAGAATTGCAAGATATAGCAGCCAGCAAAAGTACAAGGTTTTAAGCAGCCCTCTTGAACTTCCTGCACCCCTGATGATTTTGGCCTAAGACAATTGTATGTGGACAATGTGCAACATTCACACCGGTAATAAAATTCTTGCCTGCCCTTACAGTCTGATTGATTTGAACTTCTTATCGCCTCTCAGATCCTTGACCCAAGGACTGTTGGTAATTTGCATTGCTTCTACTGAGTAAGCCTGATATGTTTAATATTTATCTCGAGGAGGTCAGAGACCTTAGGTGAACTCCGTGTCTAGTTAGCTGGAATGATTAATTCATACATCCAAAAGCTAAAGGGCGCTTCTGTAAATTGTCTGCATCATTCTTTGAAATGCAGGAGGATGGTTTAATGGCTTAAATGCACTGGTGATGAAGCTTTGAGGAGGGCTCAAGGCTTCTTGGTCCCATGAGGGACTGTAGGCGCAGAACCAAATAGGGCTATTTAGCCCAGCTTAGGCCATAACCAGGACAGAGAGGTGCATGGCCCTGCAATTTAAACTGTCAGACTCCAGTGAAGAGGAGTGGGTATATGTCACTTCTGAGTGGATGATCTGAAGGATGAGAAAATAGCCAATAATACACTTGGGGCTTAATAAAGAGAAGCAGCAGTAGGAACACAAACTGGACAAAATACTCAAATTCCTAAGGTTTTTCTACCTCCAGCCTGATTTCTCATCTATAAAATGGGAACAAGAATACCTATCCTGGTAGGTTGGGTTATCTAAAAAATATTCAGTCTTCTTTCACTAACTTTATGAGAAGAATAAACTTTCTATCTCATAGACGTTTGATTTGGCAATGCAACTGGTTGGTCTCATGTTGAGGAGAGTGTCTTCACCACGTTTTAGATTTGGCCATGGCCATGCCACTTGCATAACCAATGAGATATCCATAGATGTGATGCAGTGACAGTGCAAAGTATGCTGGCCGTGAGTAAAACATGTTCCAGTTACCCTGCTATCTAAGGAAGGAGAGGGACTGATGGAGCAGACCTGGATTCCATCTGTGGTTTAAGCAAGCACTACCTATGTTACCAGATCCAAGATGACACACACACATGCAAGCAAGAAGAAATCTATTTTTAAGTCCCTGCGTTTTAAGGTGCTTTGTCACACAGCAATGACTGATACTCTTCATAGATTATTATAAAGATTAAATGATGTAACTTAAGAAGGCACCTGCTATAATCCCATCAACCAATAAACACCACATAATGAGTTTCTGCTATTATAAACAATGCTGTATTTGGATAATTTTTTTCTTTAAATGTTGATGATGAAAGAGGGGCATCCTATAGTGTCCTTGTTGGAGCTTGCACTGGTGACAAAATTCAGGAAAGTCCTAGTCCTCTTCCCATCTCAAGGCAGGCTCCCCTCTGTCTTGAGTACACTTTCTTGTTCTTTCACAAGCAGTATGGATCACTGAACACATGGCAAAATAAGCTAGCTCTTTGGAACATTGTTTCTTTTGAAAAAACGTCTTTCAAAGCAACCAATGAAAACAGTAGGCTTTCCACGCGGCTGTTTGTGTGTGTAGTTCTAAGCATGGCGAAGCTTGTGGTCTGATGCTGGCTCTGTCATGGTTTTCTGTTGCTGAAGGAACTTAACCTCCCTGTATTGCACTTCCCTGATTTACATAATGGGGCTGATTATAATTGCCAACCTCACAGGATTGTTGTGCGAATTAACTAATGTTTGTAAAGTGCTTAGAGGTCCATAGATGAAAGGTGCTATATAAGCCTATTATTATGTCATCAAAAATGAAATTCCAATAAGATTACATTTCATTTAAATTTCCATTAATTTTGTCATCATTCTAGATTAATTCTCGTTTTCTAGAGCAAATAAATAAATAAATATATAGATGAGAGAAAGGGGTTGATATATTAAAATATGAAGCATTCAACATGGAAAGGAAATTAGCTAGAAAATGCTAGCACTTAGAAGTGATTTTTAAATTATTATCCTTTAATGAACCCTGATCATGTAATCAATATTATGTAAAACCTAGATATGGTCTCTGAGTTTACAAACTAAATTACGAATCTGACTGATTAAATAGCTAACATTTCCTATTTCAAGTGTGTAGAAATGAATGCTATATAAAGGTCTATAACTCAACTCATTTTTAAATTAGACCTCTTGTTATAGGAAATAACTTTAAAAGTTTGAGAAAAATTATAAATGTGTAAAGAGTACATTTATGAGATCACTATGTGGTCTGCTTAATTCTGTATTGGGTTCATGAGAAATAGCATTGATTCTCAGACCTACTAAAATGACCTGTGGTAATTAGTTCCATAAGGTCCACTTATAAATCCCCTCATAAAACCATGAGATGTTAGATCATGAACAGCCGGTTTAATGTCATTTTGGAGATAACAAAACAGAGGACCTGAGTTGTTTTATTTTATTTTATTTTAGTGTTGCTGAGGATTGAACTCAGGACCTTGCACTTGATAGGCAAGCAATTTATTACTGAACTATATCTCTAGCCTATGACCTTCAGTTTCGAAGTAATTTGCACAAAGTTACATATCTATAAGTTGGCAGATCTGGGCCTCCAAATTCTCCATCGAATGTCATTTACAATACAGCTTTTCACATCTATGAATCTGAGGATTAGTTATTTATCCATGTTGTCCTACAGATTGTCGCTTCCATGCTGTTACCACCAGGAGTACAGAAAATGGACATTTCCAGGGTTCACTGCTCACTACAGTTAAGTTTCTTGCATTATTTTTAGTAAAATACTTGTATTCATTTGGTCACCATGATTTAAGGGAAACAAAGCATTATTCTGATCGTCCATTTTAAATACATGAAAATGAATCCTTTTCCCAAGGCTGTTGACAAAAGATGGTAGGTAGGACACTGGAGTCTATTTTCCCCTTTGGGAACCCGGGGAATAAATTCAATATCATCCCATTGTCCAGTTGTAAACATCTATGTGTCTGAGATGCCAGTCCTTAGGAAGAACAAAGTGGAACCAGATCTGCCCCAACTTTTCTTTCATTCCTTCCTTCTTGGCTGGTAGATCAGTTTTCCCTGGAGAATATAGCTGTACCATTCTATGAGCTGTCTGTCCTGTAATATGCTGTTTGGGGTATGTGACATATATGCGCATATCTCTGTGACTTTGGTCCTAAGCTTGCTAACCTCCACCACATTTGAGCTCAGCTCCTCTGGGACTTTAAGGAAAGCTCCTTGGATTCCATTGAACTGTAATGCCAGGAGGAGGAGATGGATGCTGCTGCTTCACTTTCCGTTAGATCAATGCTACATACAGATAATAAAAGAAAAGTCTGTTTTGAGGCCTAATGCACACTTATTTCTTAGGTTCCCTCATGCTGCTGATGTCTGAAGATATAAATTTTCTTTCTTAAATTGGGAGTGGTACCAAGTCCAACTAAACTTCACTGGGTTATGGATGGGGGAAATTATGTTTCATTTGATGACTGCAGTGATGCCAAAAGAAACCTGAAAGACAAATGCCTGCCTTAAATGTTGAGACAGAGATAGATGAACTAAAAGAAGCACTGTAGGAAAGCAGTCACAGAGGCTTTAATTACTGGGAGTCTTATTCCTGCTCTAGACTTGATTTGTACTTACTCTGGTGCCAGTTTTACCCATGTCTAAGAAATTAAAAATGTGGGCTCCTTAACATTAAGGATTTAATATTAAAATCTTTTCCCCTCATTCCTAGGGTCATTCATTTAGTAGTTTTCAAGTACCTCCTCTATGTGAGGGGCATTATGAGAGGTGGTAGGGTGACAAAGATTATTGCTAATTTTTATATCATATTTCCTGTGTGTTCTGTTCATTTTGTACATTAATTTGTGTACTTCTCATCAGCCCTATGATGTTGTGATTATTATTATCTCCCTCTTATAGATGAGTAAAGCGAGGCCCAAGTCGAACAATTTGTTCAAGGTCATTGTATTAGTCAGTTTTAATTTTCAATGTCTTATGATGTTTTGACATCTTAAGAATCTTGTTGGCCAGAGACAAACTACCCTTTCCAGGGCTGGCCACTTCCTAAACAGGACAGAAGGCTGGGTTTAGAGCTTACCTTTCATGTGTAGACCAACTGATCTGTAGTCCCTGCTCCTGTTACCCCATTTATCTGACTCTTATATCAGGCAATATTTCTCCTACCCCCAAAATCACTCCAGGACCAGTTACCAGCCACCTGGAGACCACTGCTATGGCCCAAAGCCCATTGCAATTATTCAAACTAGCTGATGTTAAACTCTTTGCTATGCCCTGCCTTGCCTTTTCTGCAGAAACTCCAATAAAAGCTCTGATCTAATCTTTCCCCTTACCTGTGCCTCCTCCATCTACTGAGCAAGTCTGCAGTTTTTTCCTGGGGCCCTGTGTGATACACTGTGCCTCTCATTTCTAGAGCAACTGTGAGTGACTTTGAACATTTCTTTCAATGAGAATGATCTCTCTGCATCAGCACTCAGTCAATTTTATAAATTAAGGCCCAAGAACCATCCAGTGGGGCTGGGACTTCTATTAGGCAGTCTGGCTCTGGAGTCTGATTTTGGCTTATGCGCGATACTGGTATACTTTACAGGGCACACAGTCCTGTGGAGAAAGAGCATCAGAACAAACAATTATAAACAATAGGTGAATACAATCACCAAGACAGCACTGTTATGACCAGATCAACCAACAGCCCTGTCCATGTGAAAGGAGTGCATAGGATTAATTAGTATTTAGGAAAGCTTGTGTGAACTTGCTGGGTAGGTTAGTTTATCTGATTCAAGAAACATCTAAGCACCTACTATGTTCAGGTTCTTTGTCAGTCACTGAAAATAAAAAAAGGAACAGGGAGAGGAGGCCCTTGCAGTGCTGCTGTAGCAAAGGATTCAGGCCCTTTAAGATGCTGGATGAGGTGCTTGTGCAAAACACAACAGGGTGGGAGCTCCCTGGAGAGGGGAGCAGCTCTGTTCCTAAGAAGCTGAGCCAGGTGAACTGTAAAATTATTATGAAGAACTGGAAATTAGGAAATTTTGTGGGTGATGGCACAGGACTAGGGACAGACTGTGGAGTTTTATTCAGTTGGGAAGGAACAGACTCAGCAAGTAACTTGAGACACGTTATTATGAATTGGTTTGTGTCTTTGCAGCTCTAATTGTGTTGAACTTCAAAACTGAGCCTGGACTATGTTCATAGTTTCAAGGCTAAACCCCAAACATTACCATGTAGCAGTGAGAAGCAGCACAGAAAGTATGATTTTTTTCAGAACTCCATGGACCAATGTATAAATTTTAACTTTGTAACTAGCTGTTTGTCTTTGGGGAAGTTACTTAACCTTTCGGAAATTCAATGGAAAAGACTTTACTTACTCAAGATGCATAAAGTCGAAAGTGCACAGTTCAGGCAAAACAAGTTTTCTTCCACATTTTGGACTCCTTCTCCAATTCTAGTCAAAAGAGAGATGGATGGGTAGAGCCTGCAGAAGATTGTATGAATTCTAAGAATATACCTAAGGCCATAGCTGCAAGACTGAACAGGTTTTTGTTTACATCCACTGCAATAGGAGAGTAATAAACATGAGCTGAATCAATTTTATACTCAATCAATGCCTTAGCATCATTTGCCTTTTTTGTTGTTGTTGAGCCTTAAGCAAGAGCAGGAAGAGCAAGCCTGTCAACTCTTGATCTATGCAAGGCTGAAGATATTATATTGACAGAGCATTGGTGATATCATGCAAGATGATGCATGAAAAGCAGAATTATGTATCAAATTGTTAGTGACTTAAGCTTCACTTCCCAATTAGCGGCTTTTGTTGCTCATTGATGATCCGGCCCCAAGTTAACTTTCATTCCTTCCTTCTTGGCTGCTAGACCATATTTCCCTGGAGAATGTAGCAGTATTATTCTATGAGTTATTTGTTCTGCAACATGCTGTTTGGAGTACTTGGCATATGTGAGTGTATCTCGGTGACCTTGGTCCTAAGCTTGCTAACCACTAACACTTTTGAGCTCAGCTCCTCTGGGCCTCCATCTTGTCAATGTTAAGAGTTGAACTGATCACTGGATAATCTTTTCTTCCAGCATAACATTCTTGAATCATTTATTTGTTATTTGCTCTCATTTTATAGACCTATAGAGGTTGATTTTTTGTGGATAAGCAGAGTGGACTTGGCAACAAGTTTCTTGATGAGGTTGTAGGAAGAAGAATGGAGTCAGACCATCTAGATTATATCCTAACCTCTTCATATATTGGTCTAGTGACAGCAAGACTGATAATTTCATATCTATGGAGCTCAGTTTCTACCTGAGACCTACCTTCAAGTTTGTCTGGTAATTAAATGAGATAATGTTTAGCCCAGTGCCTGGTATATAGTAAATACTTGAAAGATATCATTTAATGAAATTAACTTTCCTAATTCATGCAATATAATAGCCACTAGCTGCATGTGATTGTTTAGAGTTAAATTGTAAAAAAAATCAGTTCTTTAGTTACACCAACCACATGTTAAGCTTTCAGTCACCACACATGGCCCATGGCTAGTGTGTGGGGTTGCACAAAACATTTGCACCAGAACAGGGGATACTGTCGGCTCATGCTGACAATACATTGGCATCACACCCAGAGATACCATAAAAGAAAAATGTGAAGTGCATCACATACTTGGAAAAAAAAAAAAAACAGCTATGTGTTCTGTGGGGGATTTGAACTAAAAGAAACATCCCAGCTCCCCACCTACAGTGTGTGTCAACCTCGAATAATTCCAGCCTACACAGTCCCTTGCCGCTTGTTTTGTTGCCGCTCCCCCCTGCCCCCTCTCCTATTTTCAGTGTCTTTCTGATGGAGTCGCGTTCCATATGTAATATTGTTACAGGTGCAGAATTGTTCCTTTCAGTGCTGAATGCCGTTGCACATGTGCGCACGAGCGCCGAGGGCCAGCGCACCATTACTGTGCATCCAGGCCTCCCTCCCAGTCTGTGGGTCAACAGCATTCTTCTTTGCTTGCTAATGCTTTATTGTCTCTTAGTATACATTGGAATAATAATGGTAATTTATGCAGATATTTTGTATGCATAGCAAATAATGAGAAACACCTGCAGAAATTTCCCTCCTTCTCTGAGTTCAGCAACTAATTATATTTTTAAATAATGGCTACCATTGAACACAATTATCCAAATCACTTTAAGTAATGGAATCTTTTTAAGGTGTTTTTGAAAATTTTAACACAGTTTTTAAACACTCATTTTTAGCTAGAAGATGGGAGGAAAAAAGGCTAGTGGGCGGCTTACCCCCTCCCCCCCCCCAAAAAAAAGACAGCTTCTGTCAAGAATGGATCAGTCCCCAGATTTTCCCCTGGAGCCCGGTCTTCACTGCTCCAGCCAAGACTGGTCCATAGAAACCTGGTTTTCTGGAGAGTTACCCTCCTGATTTTGGTGCTTTGTTCTTCTTTCCTTTTTCTTTTCTTAATGTAATATAAAAACAATTAAATAGCCTCTCCAGATCCTCTCTTTTAAAAGCACAAATTGCCACATGATTTCCCCTTCTGTCAATTCAATAGTTTGCGTGAGGAAAGCACTGGTTGGGAAATCAGAAGATGGTCGTTTTTGAATTTCTGGGTCTCAATTTCCTCTCCTACAAGTTTGGAAGGTTGAGAGAGATAAATTCCCAAAGCCTTGCCAGTTCTAAAAAACCATAAGCCCACGACAGTCAAGGACCTCTGGGCCCAGGAGCCACTCTGCCATGGAGAGACTAGGAAATAGAAGTGGTCGGACAAGAGCAATATCAACACAATATCTTAAAAAAAAAATACTTTCCTCCTCATATCTAAACTTTAGTTTGCATTCCTAATTAGAGAAAGTTCTGAAAACTTCATATACACACAGTGATTTGGTGGTTGCACCAGAAAGAACAATTGTTGAGTCTTACACCTTCCTCTTAGGCACTGCCTTCAGGCAATGATATTTCACCTTGTAGAATTTCTAATCCTTTTTCTATGTGGCTGTAAGAAATTACTTGTCTGTAGGAAGAAAAATCAACTGTTGTATAAATCATATCCTTTTGAGTAAGAAACTGAGTAAGTTGCAAGAATCCCTGACCTCATGAAATTTACAATCTGGTATTGAAGGTAAGTTAAATATCAATCAATTTCAAAATGAAATAGATGAAAATTTAAAATAATGCTTAATGAGGGCTTAAATGACTGCTGTTCCTTTTTCTATGGAAAAATCAAAGGGAATCTCTAGGAAGAGGTGAATCTGACCAGGTCCTTGAAGGACACTCTGCAGGTCTGCTGGTGAGCTCCAGTTGTTGGTGTGTGAGCTGCACTCTAGACCAAAGTGTAGCTGATCTAATGGATAAACACATAAGGGAGAAAAACAACAAAAATGTACTGATGATTTTCTAAAGCTAAATATAGCCAATGTAAAGGAGGTCTACGTTCTGTGTGTTCTTTTGTTGGTACAGTATCTTTTCTACTATTAAATGATGGTTATGACAAATGGCAATTTTTCTGGTTTGTTTTTAACCTTATTTGGCAAAATAAATAGCTGGAAAATATCTTTCAGTCTCAAATCCTAAATATTTTGTTTGACATTTTACTATATCATTAAATCTGAAATTTGGTTTCTTTGGGTTATGGTTTTCTTATTTTCTTATTTGTTTTGCTGACTTCCAAGGGCTTCTGTGTTTTCCTAAGAGAAAGTAAATGAAGAACCAAATGGATTTTTATTTTTTCTTATTCCTGTGCAAATGGATTAGATTGGTAATCTCACAAAGAGATAACGAGATAGAGAGGGGGAGAGAAGGAGGCAAAGAGCAAACAAGGAAGATTAAGAGTTTAGGAGGACATGTCCTATAAAAAATTTAGGCGATGGTGATTTTTAAGAAAAAAATGTCCTTAAGATGCTAATAATGATGCATTGTGAGGATGCACATGGTCATTATTTCATTTACTTTTGCACTGTTATTTTGTAAAGGCAGAAAGGAAAGTTTAAGACAAAAATTTTAGGAGGTTATTTGAGCATTAACACCACAGGGTGCTTCAGAGCAGACCTAGGACTGCACCTGAAAAAAGGAGGTGTAAAAAGGGTGCCTCCCAGCTGGCAGTGACAACAAAAAGGAGCAGGAAAGAATAATGATGGGATGCATTCTTTTGAGTTCACTGTTTGAAGCAACAGAAGCCATTCTTTTCAATTTTGAATTTTGTGCTAAATATTAAGCTGAAACCAGTTCTAGTTTCTGAATACATAGTCTTTCTTTGTTATGTCAGCTCGTGACGTGACTCATGTTGCAGGTGGATAGTTAAAAGTCAACTGCCTGTGTTTTTAGTCATAACAGAAGAGCGTACAGTTCGACACAAAATGGAGGCTCCTCAGTCAAAGGCATAGGCGGCCTTTGGTGCCCTGCCAGTCTTGACATCGAAGAGCAGAGACTGTGACTTGGTGCCTAAGCCTGGGATGGGAGGGGTGTCGGGGGGAAGAAAGGAGTTCATTTGAAATCAAAAGAATAAGTAATATATTGTTGGTAATTATATGCTCTCTATGCTCATGCTTCTTGGCAATCAAGTCTCTTTCTACTACTTTCCCCACACACTCTAAATAGTGTCCATTTTCATCCTGGACCTCATTTCCCATGTTAAACTCCCAAATAAATAAACTCTGTGGTGAACAAGGAGGATTGTGGCTTGCAAATGGCTTGACAAATACAAATGCTTCCATTCTTTAAAAAGGATCCTTAGATTAGAATTGAAAGATGGTATTTTTATTACTCCGAATTGTGAAGTGTACTAAAAAACATGCATCCATCTTGCATGGATGGCTGCAACCTTCCAGTCTTATGACCACAAGAGCAGATTCCTGTCTCTGTTACTACAACACTTTACTTTTTACATTAAACATGATCTTAAGGGAAAAAATCTACTTACGGGACATCTCGGCGGCGGCTGCTCTGCACACAGCTTAATACTGAGAGGATGTGTCTGTCGGTGGGCTGCTTGCGTTTGTGCACCAGAGCATGCTCTTTAGCCCAGGAATTTGGAGAGTATAAGATAGTGGTCCCTGGAGAAATCCGACTTAAAAGAAATCTTTGAAAACACCTATCAAAGGTGCTGGGAAAGATCTTCAGCAACTTGTTAAGTATAAGGGTCTTTTCCCTCCTCGGGTGAACTTTAAAGACAAAATGCTTGAAAGGAAATGCTTAGTTTAGACTTCATTCTACACGTATGACACTCCTTTAGAAAATAATGAATATTGTGGATAGTATTCACTGGATTATTTTGAAGCCTACAGTGGAAGCCACACCGCCTTTTTCCTATATACGTATTAACAACTCCAAAATCATCATAAAATACGAACACTAACCCCCAAAGGCAGATTCGTCCCTAGTACTTCTAGTAATAAGCATTGGGCTCCTTTGTTGTTATCCCCCCCGCCTCCCCCGTATTCCAAAACTTACACCTCACGGAAAATAAGTAAAAAGGTGTGGAAGCTCTTGGAAGCCCTCCAGATACAGTGCGCAAGTAGATCAATTGCAGTGTGCTGCATAAAAACCCGTTTTCGCGTTACAAGAGATGTTTACTTCCCCAACTTTCTCAAATCGCAGTACTGAAGTACGGTCACAAGAGGGAACCATTGTTCAAATGTTGGAAAGGTTGGGTTTTAACGGTGGAACTCAGCCCGCTCAAATCGCACTTTAATGCATGAACCTGATCAAAAGGCTTGAACAAAAAAGTAGAGACAGATGCAATCATCGACACAGTTCTATTTTGGATTGCGGAACTATTTCAGATTTTAAGCATCCACATAATTAAAGGTATTCTTAAGCCTGTAACCTGGTAACAGAAACCAAAGACCAGAGTCAAACACCTAATAGAAATCCATGTAATAAAGAAAGCACTGACAGGTCTTTATTTTTCCATTGGTTTTAGGTTGCTTGGAACAAGGCAAACTTTTCTGATGCAAATAGAAAATATTGAAATATAAGGAAACAGACAAATCCAGACATTTCAACTCAAAATGTTGCCTGTCACATAGCAAATAATAACAATGATCAGAAACCGGAGAAGGGGAACATATGTTGCAAAAAAATTCTTGCTTACAGCCTCATGAACCAGTACAATTGTGAAATCCAGACTAATGTGAGACAAGACATATAGAATGGATTCTTGGGGGTCGCGTGGCATCAGACTGGCGTAGGTCCAGTTTGTGCACCAGCACAACGGCAAAACAAACAGGAAAATATTTGACGCCAATAGGGCTTTTATAGGAAAACAGATGACGGGTGAGATTATTAATCTTGACAGTTTCCTGATTTATTAGGACGTTGTCATCCTCTCCTTTTGTATAATTTGGCAAATGATCATAGTCTTAGACTTAGTGGAGGCAGAGCTAAGGGTTTTTCCACTCCTTTCACTGCAGCAGCAAATATAAAGCAATAAAGCTTGGGTTTAGGCAAAAGGTGGAAAAAATGAATTTTCACTTGCATATTGTCATTTGAGGAATACTAAATCGATGTTTTATTTTTATGGCTGTCAATGTAGATTCAGCTATGTAACTAAAATGCATTAATTCACTTTGAGAAATATACCTTCTGTTTAATAAATCCAAAGCAAAGGTGACTAAATTTAAAACCAAAATCTCTAGCAATCAAAAACGAGTATCACTGTTTTCCATGCCGGCAATGAAAAAAAAAGAAAACAATCAGAAAATAATAGTCATTTTTAAAAGCCATTCTTCTAAATTATTCTACCCTATAAAACAAAAATGCATGGAAATTCTCTGAATTGTTCATTCAGAATCACTAAAACAAACATGGGTGACTTCACTGTATACTCAAAACAAACAAACAACTGACATATTTTATTAGTGATCTCCTTCACCAGTATATTCTTATATTTTATCTTTTGTAATCCCCTGCATTTAAAATAACTGCAATGGAAATTAATCTCAATTAACAAAAAGAATTAAAGATATTTCCAACTAAATGATGTTATCCCCAGACAATTTTATCAAAATATAAAATCTCTAAACTTAAAATGCTATAATTGAACACTTTTTTTTATTAAGAAAAACCATGCTTGCACCTATGTTTCAAGACTGACATATTGTGCAATAAACAGCAATCAGCCTAAAGATGCTATATTAAACAAACCAAGTTTTGTTTTGCTAAACTAAGCAAAATTAGTTGAATGCCCTAAGTAATAGTTGCTGGTATTTTTTTTCTAAATTATTTCTCCACTTGTTTTTGTGTCTATGCATAAATTAAAAATCTGCTGAAATTTATTATTCATCTGAGATGTAATTAATATGCAAAATTATGCAAATTAAGATGCAATTAGGCTTCAATTCTCTAGTGGAATTTTCCATTATAATTTAATACAAAGTAATAGAGTAATTGGTGTCACGTGTAATTACGGTTACTCACGTGTACTTGCAGACGTGCAAATGATGTGGTATATGTTAGTTATCCTATGCAAATGGATCATGCAATCTCTTAATACTTGGGAATGAAGTAAACAAAGATGGTCTTCAAAAAAGGGTAAGAGGGGCCCCTCTTTCTTCTCATATGCTACCATTTTGAAGAACTATGTGAATAATTGTAACTAATTTCCCTGCATTTACATCTAAGAATTTTTAACTTGGTGTTATGCAGTACATTGTTTATTACTTTAGAGAAATTATTTCTAGTAAAAAAAATGAATTGTTAAACAGAGACCTAATAGTGATTCAGATGCCACATGAATACACCCAAGATGAGAGCAGGCAAACCAAAGCTCTATCTAGCAGGGCAGAGGCTGTTCCTGCATCAGGCTCAAAAGATCTCATCTTTCAAAGAAATAATGTGGCCAGCTTTGCCAAAAAAATTGTCATAACAGAGTTCTGTTATTTCCTGATTACAAAGTTGATCAATTAATTTGCTTTACAACCTCTGTAAAAGCCAGCTTCATTTTTCATACCAAAATTTCTTTCCTCCTGATTTTCAGAATTCTAGGAAAATTCAGTGTCATGTCTTTCTGAATGAATAAAGCACCAAGCAAACTGAACTATACAATTCTCTACAACGTTAACTTTTCCATTTGGTTTAAGGGACCCTTCAGCTGCCTAGTGTTTTTCTTCTTGTGTCTCCCTTAAAAGAAAAGAACAGGACTCTGCTGTGCTTGTCCTGAGCCCAGGAGCTGCTGCTTCTAATTTCTCCATGAGAAATGATTACCGCTTGTTTTAAAACACCCATGCTGTGTTGAATCCTGCACAGAAAACATTATGATCTCGACACTTTCCTTCTCATAACTGAAGCACACACTTTAAGACGAGTATTTTATATTCTCAGCTCCAATTAACCTGAAGTGTTGCTCTTGCCAATGTCTCCCCCCGCCCCCACCCCTGCACTAAGTCTACCCTTCCACTTCTTTGTAACAGATAAGATTTTTCCCCAGGAAGGGAAATGTGATATAGTTTGTTGCAATTAATAAGAGCGGGCACTGAGGAAGAGAAAGAAGGATGATTCAGAAGAGTGGATAAGCAGCTCTACTATCCTGCCACGTTCCCACTTCTTACTCATTTTCCTCTACCTATTTTGGCTGGTTATTCAAAGGTACAGCCACAGAGAAGAGAAAATAAAAGACACCATTAGTCTCTCATGTTGCACCCTTTTCGCAGCTCCACCCATTCATCCATATGTGGCTTTCTCATTCATTCCAGTAATAATACCAATTACTATGCAGGCAGGGCCATTCTTACTCACATTTGCAGCTCACTGTGGACATTTATGCTACACTCTGAGCAACACTCATATCTTCAACAACATCAATTATACAGCTGTTGTACAATCATTGTAAATGAAATATACAATGCCCCGTTCAGCTCTTGAAATCATTTACAATGGTAAGAGGTAGGGTAGGGGATAGCTGGCCCTTCCTTTGCCTGACTTCTTTCTGGCGTTCCCTTTACTCTCAAAGTCCTGGCCTTCCCAGGGGCTTAGGATGGGGAAAAAAAGGCTGAAGTGCAGTGAGAACCAAAATGCTTGAGCAGCGCTACTTTTTCCTCAGAGAGGAAAGTTTGGAATTTGTATTTAATGGTAAAATGGACCCCTGAGACTTCAGCATCACAAACAAGGACCTTGATAAATGAACCTTGATCAAGCTTTCTGAAGCCACCCATCCAGAATGTCCAGCTTAGAAATATGCCATCTCTGCTAATTTTCTGTCTTCTCTGCTCAAGTTTTCCTGTTTGCTCTCATCTTCCACAAGTTACAGTTGTCAGTCAAAACAAGTATTATGTGTCTATTTTTGCTTCTCCATGGAACTTTACAGGTTCAAATCACCTTCCCGAAGAGACCTGGTCCAGGAATCCTTTGGCACTTGCTGTTATAGTCAGATGAGCTGAATACACATGTAGCATTCTATAACTTATCATCCACTCCTGCCCATCACAAGTAATCATTGCAGATCAAGTTATATCTATTTTATAGATAAAACAATTAATGTCTTAAGGAAAAGAATACAGATAATACATGAGAGAGCTGAGACTTGCAAATACTGTTTTTTTTTTATAAAAATTTATTTTCATCAAACATTTTGCTATCAGTTTATCTTCTATGAGCTTTGCAAAGGCTGTATTCAGTATAATGTCATAATACATGTTTTTCTTTTCTTTTTTTTTTTTAGATTTCAACATCTAGGAAACCTGAATATATCTTACAACTAATGAGAATTTGACAGTCATCCTCAGCTAAATAACAGTTATGTGGTCCTGATGTTTGTTATGAACAAACTGGTGAGTGGCTGAACAACTGAAATTCTTTGAATGTTTAGACAACAATCTTCAATTTAAAGATCATGTAAGGAAAGAAAATAAGTCTTTCTGTTTGAAAGTTCCTCATTGACATCTTCTGGTAAGATCAAGAAAGTGCCAACATAAAAACTTTCATTATGTGTCAGGGATTTGGAAGAAATTCCTGGAGATGGCGGTGAAGCGGTCTTTAAAGAAATGCTACCTCGCTAAAGTTCCTGATTGCACTCAGTGATACTGTGTTGAAAACTCATTCATAGTTGTCAGACTTAACATTGCAGGGCATTTTGAGGAATACCAACCACACTATTTCACTTACTATTTCCTTTATACATCTGTCCAGGAGTGATATGTGATTAAAAAAACAAAACTTGCTGAAATGACTCTGATAGGGCTCTTTCAATAATTATAAAACAACGGTTCTAAGCAGTAAGAAAGTATCATGTTAGAGAGTAATTTATGGCCATGTTCTCTCTCTTTGGGGATCATAAAAATGATGTATCTTAATTTCATTGGTCTCTTAGAAGCCAGAAAAT